ATGCTTCACAATAACCTACAATACTTGTTATTGCCCTCTGAAAAGTCCAATTATAGCCTCAGGATGAATTTGGACAAGCCAGGCCATATGTTCAGCTTTATTAATATATCTGTCCTGAAGAGTAAAATTTCATAACTATGACCCCATGAAGGAAAATTGCTTCCCACCATTTCTTTCTTCATAATTTGGACAAAATAGGAACTGGATGTGCTTTTTGTTTTTAGCCTTTCCATATTTTTTATTTTCCGGTAGAACTTAAAACTCAAAGGGTGAATGAACTCTTGTATAATCTGGTTATAGATAATCTTGTTTACTGAACATTCTGAAGGAATATTATGTAATGATATTTTTCCTTCCATTCCAATCTAAAAATATGTATTATTAGATCCACTCTGAAACTGAAATCCAGCTACATACTTATTCAATTTTCTCCCACTTAAAAAAAGTACTTGATTCATCCATAGACCTGGAATTGCTTCATGTAAAAAAAGAAAGCATTCAGGAGGATATTCAATGTTTCATCTTCCTGCTATAAAACCAACAGAACAACAAAGACAATACACAAATTGAAACCATAGAATAAAAACCTTTCACATAAAACTAACAGAAAAATTTTATATCAGACTGTAGTTTTATAGAATAAAGAAAATAGCTACCTGTCTTCTGGCAAGACAAATCAAGATCAAACACATTAGGAAGATACAGACAGATCTTGGAGGGCCAAAGAATGGAAGAAAATGTCTTGGATACTTCATCACAGACTAGCCCAAATCCATACTTCTCCTCAACAAGAAGTGTTAAATTTTTGTTGTTTTTGTTTTTATTCATTTGTTTTGTTTTTCCTTCTTTTCCAAATTATTTGTAATTCTCAGTAGTTTCTCTTGAACTCTTATTTCCTCTACCTTTATCTCTTAGTATCTTCCCATTTTCTTCCCGTCCTCAAACTCATTCCTTGGAGCACTTTATTTTTAATACTTATACACTTCACCATCATTAAGTTACAGTTTATCCCTAAAGAGTCCAAGTTCTGTTCTTCCACAGACTTATTGGGAAGGTAGTTGAGGTTTCTTACTATATTTAACTACCTGGTTTGTCACTGTATTGTTGATCTTGTTATATACTGTTTTGGGTTTTTTCTCATCTGAGAGAAAGTAAAAAGAGAAAATCCAACATATACAGAAATAGCAATGTAGAAATAGAAGCAATATGGACACACAAGGAGAAATCACTCCTTCAAAATCTTGTAACTATTCAATAACTGAATCCAAAATACTGACTTGGCTGGAAATATCAGCTAAAAAATGTTAAAAACCCTATTTTTAAACATGATAATGAACCTCAAAGAGAGTTCAAACAGATAAGTGAAGTAAAGAACTCAATTCAAGATCTAGACATAGATAAGAAATTCATGAAGAAAAGTGAAATTGTGGGGGAACAAAATCAGAAATGTTGGAAGTGAAACCCTCAGTAAATCAATCAGAAGAAAAACTTCCAAGAATGGAGGAAAAGACTGAAGAAAAATTAAATTTAGACAATAACAATAAATAAATAAATAACTATGATTTTAGACTTCAATAATTCTGAACCATTGCTATTGCACATGTATCCAAATGATTACAACTCAGGCTAAAATAAGCTCAGAATACAATATAGGCACTTGAACACTCACATCCACTGTTGCACTATTAACTATAGCTATATCTCCAAGTAGTGGAAATAGTCCATATGCCCTACATTGGATGAGTAGATCAAGAATATTATATAAATATATGTATATATGTAAACACTCATATATACACACATAAATCAGGAAGAACAATATATAGAGATATACAGATATATAGATATAAAGATATATATATCTACATCTATTTCTCTATGTGTATATATATACATATATATACATATATGTATATATATATATGTATATATATATATATATATCCTCAGAGAGACAATCTTGTTCAATATAATTCTGGAACTCCTAGCCAGAACAATAAAACAAGAGAAAGAAATTAGAGGAATGCAATTAGAGGAAAAGAAGTTAAAATTATTCATATTTACAGATTATATGATCTTATACCTGAAAGACCCTTAAAACTCTACTGAAAACTTCTGAGATCTCAAAAACACTTCTACTAAAGTAACAAGATACAAAAGTCAATATAGAAAAATTAGTTGCATTTCTATGTCTTAACAGTAGAGAGATATAAAAAGATATCATGAAAAGAATTCCATTTTCTATAGCCTTACCAAAAACAAAAACAAAAAACTTAAGAATAACTTATGTTCGAAGGTGAAAACTTGTCAATGAAAATCATAAAATATTGAAAAAAATCAAAGAAAACACTAGAATATGAAAAGACCTCTCATGCTCATGGACCAAAAAAAAATATTATGAAAATAGCTATCTTGTCAAAACCAATGTATATGTTCAATGCAATCTCCATCCAATTTTCTAATGACATCCTCGACAGAATTATTTGAAAACACAAGGACCCCAAACCAACACAGCAATCCTGGAAAAAATGAGTAATACTTGAAATAATTACAATTTCATAGTAACAAAAACAGTATGTTTTTGGCACAAAAACAGACAGGTAGACTAATGAAAGAAGAAGACTCAGAAATAAGCCCATATAAAGTCAGCCAGTTTTCAACAAAAATATAAAAAGCACAATAGAGAAAAGAAAATCTCTTCAATAATTTTTTTTGGGAAAACTGGATATTTTTTACAGAAGATTGAAACAAAATCCCTGTCATACCCTGCACTGAAATCAGTCTTACTTTAATGTAAGACCTGAAACCTTTGCAAATATTACCCAAAAAAAAACACATAGAAAAGTTATAGATATAAACAACAACTTCTAGAATAGGATTCTAGTTCAGCAAATAAGAGCCAGGATTTACAAGTATATCAAACTAAAAAGTTTCTTTACAGAAAGGAAAAAGAAAGGAACAGCAACTAGAAAGAAGAGGCGGTTTACAGAATAGGAGACAATCTGTGCTTGACTATTCATCTCACAAAGAAAAAAATAACCAGACTATATAAAAATCTCAAAAAACCAAACTCCAAAAGAACAACATAATAAACAGGCAAATGAACAGACAATTGTCAAAAAGGAAGTACAAAAGTACCAGCAGGGCTGGGAAGGCAGCTCAGAGGTAGAGTGCTTGCCTTGTCTTGCACGTATAAGGCCCTGGGTTCAATTCCTCAGCACCACATAAGCAGAAAAAGCCGGAAGTAGTGCTGTGGCTCAAATGATAGAACACTACCTTTGAGCTGAAGAACTCAGGGACAGCACCCAGGCCCAGAGCTCAGGCCCCACAACCGACCAAAAAAAAACCCACAAAAAGGTACCAGTAAATATGTAAAAATTGTTCACATCCTTGGTCATAAAGGAAATGTAAATTTAAACACTAAGATTTCATCATATCAGTCAGAATAGACATGACCAACAAGGGGGAAAAAAAGGCTGGGAAGGATGTGGGGGGGAAAAGAACTCATATATTTTTAGTGCAACCACTCTGGAAAACAGTTTAGAAGTGTTGCAAAAATTAAAAATTGGTGCTGGGTGTTGGTCACGCATGCCTGTACTAGCTACTCAAGAGCCTTAGATCTGAGGATCATGGTTGGGAGCCCAGGCAGGAAAGTCCATGAGACTCATATCCAATTAACCACCAGAAAACTGCAAGTGGAGTTGTGGTTCACAGTGCTAAAACACTAGCCTTGAGCAAAAGAGCTGAAGGATAGCACCCAGGCCCCATGTTCAAGCCCCATAACCAACCAAAAAAAAATTAAAATTGGACTACCACTCTTTGGAATATCGCCAAAGTAACGTAAGTCAGGGCACAATAGTTACTTGCACACCGAAGTTCTAGTAGTATTATTCATAATCATCAAGTTATAGAATCAGTTTAAATGCCTTTTAGCTGATGAATGGATAAAGACAATACAGTATATGTACATAATGGGGTATAATTTGGCCATAAGGAAGAATGGGATTATGCCATTTGCAAGACAATAGAAGGAACTGGAGGTCATCATATCAAGCAAAATAAGTCAGGTTCAGAAACGCAAAGGTCACATGTTTTCTTCGATATGTGGAAGCTAGACAATATATATGTATATATAGATGTGTGTATAGATATGTATATATAGTCTCTACATATGTACATATACATATGTGGATATACAGACTATATGTATGCACATATATACACATATAGAGACCATATATATGATATATATAATACATGATTATAATTATAAGACTGCTTGAACTGGGCGCTGGTGGCTCACGCCTGTAATCCTAGCTACTCAGGAGGCTGAGATCTGAGGATCACAGTTCAAAGCCAGCCTGGGCAGGAAAGTCCACGACACTCTTATCTCCAATAAACCACCAGAAAACCAGAAGTGGTGCTGTGGCTCAAATGGTAGAGCACTAGCTTTGAGTTGAAGAGTTGAGGGATAGCACCCAGCCCCAGAATTCAAGCCTCACGACTGACAAAAAAAAAAAAAAAAAGACTGGTTGAGGAGTCAAGGAGGAAGGGGTAAAGGAAAAAGAGAATAATGGTATGTAAAAAATACCAAAATATATTGTGTTTGAGTGAGGATGGCATAAAGAAACCTACTGAAATCAGTTGAACAAGAAGAGAGATGAGGGACAGGAAGAGTAATAGAGAAGTTAAATCTGAATGATACACCACAGTAAAACTTCTTTATGCAGTAATTTTCTAATGTGTAACTTAGCTTAAACAAAACACAAATATTTTCGTAACAAGTCATTCACAGGAAAAGTTAGAAAAACTCATGCCTTTCATTTAGTCTGAAATTTGTTAGAGCTGTGCAATTTATATCTTGTATTCATCAGACTTTATAGTTTTAAATGTGGTAGGTATAAAATGATAAAGTAAATTATAGTAAGTAAAACCTTTATGGGAGGACAAGAAGTTGGATTCAGTGTAAGCACAGTGAGGATAACTCAGCAAATACTTACTGGTTTAGCAGAACATCGAGAATGAATGAGGTTCCAAAGGCATCAACCTGGAAGCTTGCCCGATCAACATGAGTCAACTGCAACATCAAAAATGAAAAGGCTTTTCACTGCTCAGCCATAGCAATCAGATGATTAATATTTCTTATAATTATTTGAAAAGGCTTACAGTAGCACAAATGGGAAAACCAAGTTGATATGGAGAATAACAGAAAGCAAATTAAAGCAAACTCTGTGCTTTTTTAAACATTCCATTTCCAAGATTTTACTTCATTAACTTTATTTTATATTAAAAGAATATAGAAAAATAAACTTTATTCAAAATTGAAAATATGCTCGAGTGAAATAATATGGTGAACATGATCTATTTATAAAGAAGATGAGTAAAACTCTAAAATAATTTTTCCATCATATCTCAAATACATACTTACAAACATTTCAGTTCTAATTTGCCAAACCTAACATAGATGTGTCTACAACTTTCTAAGTTCATATTTGAACCTCTGTATATCTATAATGAATGCTACCGAAATTTTCTTGGATAAAAATAATTGCACACAATGGAATTCTATGCCTCCATCAGAAAGAATGACATTGCCCCATTTGTTAGGAAATGGAAAAACTTGGAAAAATTATATTAAGTGAAGTA